TCCTGAAGAACATCACAGAACCATCAGAACCTGGTCTAGTCCTGGTCTAGTCCTGGTTCAGTCCTGGTCTAGTCCTGGTTCAGTCCTGGTCTAGTCCTGGTCTAGTCCTGGTTCAGTCCTGGTCTAGTCCTGGTTCAGTCCTGGTCTAGTCCTGGTCTAGTCCTGGTCTAGTCCTGATCCAGTCCTGGTCCAGTCCTGGTTTAGTCCTGGTCCAGTCCTGGTTCTGGACCTGCAGAGTTTGCGGATCAGATCTTCTGGTTTCTTCGAGATCTTTTTGGGGAAGTCGATTTTCTCAACACCTCGAAGAATCAAACCGTAAAGAGTCATGTGATCCACGCCGGAGAACGGAGGACTAGAACCCAGAGAACACAGAGGTCAGAGGTCAGTGTGGAGTCAGTGTGAGGTCAGGTTGGGGTCAGTGCTGGGACAGGTTGGGGTCAGTGTGAGGTCAGTGTGAGGTCAGTGCGAGGTCAGGTTGGGGTCAGTGGTCAGTGTGGGTCAGTGTGGGGTCAGTGTCAGTGTGGGGTCAGTGTGAGGTCAGTGTGAGGTCAGTGCGGGGTCAGGTTGGGGTCAGTGTGGGGTCAGTGCTGGGACAGGTTGGGGTCAGTGGTCAGTGTGGGGTCAGTGTGAGGTCAGTGCGGGGTCAGGTTGGGGTCAGGTTGGGGTCAGTGCTGGGACAGGTTGGGGTCAGTGGTCAGTGCGGGGTCAGTGCGGGGTCAGTCTGGGGTCAGGGGTCAGGTACCTCCCGGTCAGCAGCTCGTACAGCAGGACGCCCAGGGCCCAGAGGTCGACGCTGAGGTCGTGACCTTTGTTGAGCAGAACCTCAGGAGCCACGTACTCTGGAGTCCCACAGAAGGTCCAGGTCTTCTGCCCCGAACACAGACGCTTCGCAAAACCAAAGTCCGTCTGTGGAACCAGACCGAGACCGGGTCAGGACCGAGACCGAGACCGGGTCAGGACCGGGACCGAGACCGAGTCAGGACCAAGATAGAGACCGGGTCAGGACCGAGATTAAGATGAGGTCAGGACTGAGACCAGCTCAGGACCAAGAAAAGTCAGGACCGAGATCGAGTCAGGACCAGACCAAGACCAGACCAAGAAAGAACTAAATTATGATTAAACGAGATCTAATCCAGATCTAAACCAGGACTAAACCCGGTCTGGGACTCACCAGTTTGCAGTACCCGTGTTGGTCCAGCAGGAGGTTCTCGGGCTTCAGGTCTCTGTAGACGATGGAGTTTCGATGAAGATACTCGAGAGCCTCAGTCACACACGACACGCAGAACCGAGACGTGGACTCGTCGAAGGAACCTCTGACACACAAGAGTCAGATGCCCTCCCAGTGTGTGTCAGGTCCCTCCCAGTGTGTCAGGTCCCTCCCAGTGTGTGTCAGGTCCCTCCCAGTGTGTCAGGTCCCTCCCAGTGTGTGTCAGGTCCCTCCCAGTGTGTGTCAGGTGCCTCCCAGTGTGTGTCAGGTGCCTCCCAGTGTGTGTCAGGTCCCTCCCAGTGTGTCAGGTCCCTCCCAGTGTGTCAGGTCCCTCCCAGTGTGTCAGGTCCCTCCCAGTGTGTGTCAGGTCCCTCCCAATGTGTCAGGTCCCTCTCAGTGTGTGTCAGGTGCCTCCCAGTGTGTCAGGTCTCTCCCAGTGTGTCAGGTCCCTCCCAGTGTGTCAGGTCTCTCCCAGTGTGTGTCAGGTGCCTCCCAGTGTGTGTCAGGTCCCTCCCAGTGTGTGTCAGGTGCCTCCCAGTGTTGTCAGGTCCTCCAGTGTGTCAGGTCCCTCCCAGTGTGTGTCAGGTCCCTCCCAGTGTGTGTCAGGTCCCTCCCAGTGTGTGGTCAGTGTCCCTCCCAGTGTGTTCAGGTCCCTCCCAGTGTGTGTCAGGTCCCTGTGTGTCAGGTCCCCAGTGTGTGTCAGGTGTGGTGTCAGGTCCAGTGTGTGTCAGGTGTGTGTCAGGTCCTCCCAGTGTGTCAGGTCCTCCCCAGTGTGTCAGGTCCCTCCCAGTGTGTGTCAGGTCCCCCAGTGTGTGTCAGGTGCCTCCCAGTGTGTGTCAGGTCCCTCCCAGTGTGTGTCCCCCAGTCAGGTGCAGGTCTCCCAGTGTGTGTCAGGTGCTCCCAGTCCCAGTGTGTGTCAGGTGCAGTGTGTGTCAGGTCCCTCCCAGTGTGTGTCAGGTCCTCCCAGTGTCAGGTGCCCCCAGTCCCAGTGTGTGTCAGGTCCCTCCCCTCCCAGTGTGTGTCAGGTGTCCAGTGTGTCTCCCAGTGTGTGTGTCAGGTCCCTCCCAGTGTGTCAGTCAGGTTCCCCAGTGTGTGTCAGGTGCCTCCCAGTGTGTGTCAGGTCCCCTCCCAGTGTGTGTCAGGTGCCTCCCAGTGTGTGTCAGGTGCCTCCTCCCAGTGTGTGTCAGGTCCCTCCCAGTGTGTGTCAGGTGCTCCAGTGTGTGTCAGGTCCTCCCAGTGTGTGTCAGGTGCCCCCCAGTGTGTGTCAGGTCCTCCCAGTGTGTGTCAGGTCCCTCCCAGTGTGTCAGTCCCTCCCAGTGTGTGTCAGGTGCCTCCCAGTGTGTTCCTCAGTGTGTCAGGTGTGGTCTCCCAGTGTGTGTCAGTGCTCCAGTGTGTGTCAGGTGCCTCCCAGTGTGTGTCAGTCCCTCCCAGTGTGTGTCAGGTGCCTCTCCCAGTGTGTGTCAGGTCCCTCCCAGTGTGTCAGGTCCCTCCCAGTGTGTGTCAGGTCCCTCCAGTGTCATGTGTGTCAGGTGCCTCCCAGTGTGTGTCAGGTCCCTCCCAGTGTGTGTCAGTCCTCCCAGTGTGTGTCAGGTGTCAGTGTGTGTCAGTCCCTCCCAGTGTGTGTCAGGTCCTCCCAGTGTGTGTCAAGGTCCCTCCCAGTGTGTGTCAGGTCCCTCCCAGTGTGGTCACGTCCAGTGTTCCTCTCCAGTGTGTGTCAGGTGCCTCCCAGTGTGTGTCAGGTCCCTCCCCAGTGTGTCCAGTCAGTCCCTCCCAGTGTGTCAGGTCCCTCCCAGTGTGTGTCAGGTCCCTCCCAGTGTGTCAGGTCCCTCCCAGTGTGTGTCAGGTCCCTCCCAGTGTGTCAGGTCCCTCCCAGTGTGTGTCAGTCCTCCCAGTGTGTCAGGTCCTCCCAGTGTGTCAGGTCTCTCCCAGTGTGTGTCAGGTGCCTCCCAGTGTGTGTCAGGTGCCTCCCAGTGTGTGTCAGGTCCCTCCCAGTGTGTGTCAGGTCCCTCCCAGTGTGTGTCAGGTCTCTCCCAGTGTGTCAGGTCCCTCCCAGTGTGTGTCAGGTCCCTCCCAGTGTGTGTCAGGTCCCTCCCAGTGTGTGTCAGGTGCCTCCCAGTGTGTGTCAGGTGCCTCCCAGTGTGTGTCAGGTCCCTCCAGTGTGTGTCAGGTGCTCCCATGTGTGCAGGTCTCTCCCAGTGTGTGTCAGGTGCCTCCCAGTGTGTGTCAGGTCCCTCCCAGTGTGTGTCAGGTGCCTCCCAGTGTGTGTCAGGTCTCTCCCAGTGTGTCAGGTCCCTCCCAGTGTGTCAGGTCCCTCCCAGTGTGTGTCAGGTCCCTCCCAGTGTGTCAGGTCCCTCCCAGTGTGTGTCAGGTCTCCTCCCAGTGTGTGTCAGGTGCCTCCCAGTGTGTGTCAGGTGCCTCCCAGTGTGTGTCAGGTCCCTCCCAGTGTGTGTCAGGGCCCTCCCAGTGTGTGTCAGGTCCCTCCCAGTGTGTGTCAGGTGCAGGCCCTCCCAGTGTGTGTCAGTGCCTCCCAGTGTGTGTCAGGTCCCTCCCAGTGTGTGTCAGGTGCCTCCCAGTGTGTCAGGTCCCTCCCAGTGTGTTCAGTGTGTGTCCCTCCCAGTGTGTGTGTCAGGTGCCTCCCAGTGTGTGTCAGGTGCCTCCCAGTGTGTGTCAGGTCCTCCCAGTGTGTGGTCAGGTCCCTCCCAGTGTGTCAGGTCCTCCCAGTCAGTGTGTGTCAGGTCCCTCCCAGTGTGTGTCAGGTCCCCCAGTCCCAGTGTGTCAGGTCCCTCCCAGTGTGTCAGGTCCCCCAGTGGTGTTCAGGTCCCTCCCAGTGTGTCAGGTCCCTCCCAGTGTGTCAGTCAGTGTGCAGGTGCCTCCCAGTGTGTGTCAGGTGCCTCCAGTGTGTGTCAGGTGCCTCCCAGTGTGTGTCAGGTCTCTCCCAGTGTGTCAGGTCCCTCCCAGTGTGTCAGGTCCCTCCCAGTGTGTGTGGTCAGTGTGTCCCCTCCCAGTGTGTCAGGTCCCTGTGTCCCAGTGTGTCAGGTCCCTCCCAGTGTGTGTCAGGTCCTCTGTGTGTCAGGTCCAGTGTGTGTCCAGGTGCTCCCAGTGGTGTCAGGTCCCTCCCAGTGTGTCAGGTGCCTCCCAGTGTGTTCAGTCTCCCCAGTGTGTCAGGTCCCTCCCAGTGTGTCAGGTCCCTCCCAGTGTGTGTCAGGTCCCTCCCAGTGTGTTCAGTGCCTCCCAGTGTGTGTCCCTCCCAGTGTGTGTCAGGTTGTGTGTCAGGTCCCTCCCAGTGTGTGTCAGGTGCCTCCCAGTGTGTAGGTGTCCCTCCAGTGTGTGTCAGGTCCCTCCCAGTGTGTCAGGTCCCTCCCAGTGTGTGTCAGGTCCCTCCCAGTGTGTGTCAGGTCAGGTCCCTCCCAGTGTGTCAGGTCCCTCCCAGTGTGTCAGGTCCCTCCCAGTGTGTCAGGTCCCTCCCAGTGTGTCAGGTCCCTCCCAGTGTGTCAGGTCCCTCCAGTGTGTGTCAGGTCCCTCCCAGTGTGTCAGGTCCCTCCCAGTGTGTGTCAGGTCCCTCCCAGTGTGTCAAGTCCCTCCCAGTGTGTCAGGTCCCTCCCAGTGTGTCAGGTGCCTCCCAGTAAGTGTCAGGTCCCTCCCAGTGTGTGTCAGGTCCCTCCCCCTGTGTGTCAGGTCCCTCCCAGAGTGTGTCAGGTCCCTCCCAGTGTGTCAGATCCCTCCCAGTGTGCCAGGTGCCCTCCCAGTGTGTGTCAGGTCCCTCCCAGTGTGTCAGGTCCCTCCCAGTGTGTGTCAGGTGCCCTTCCAGTGTGTCAGGTCCCTCCCAGCGTGTGTCAGGTGCCCTCCCAGTGTGTCAGGTGCCCTCCTAGTGTGTGTCAGGTGCCCTCCCAGAGTGTGTCAGGTCCCTCCAAGTGTGTGTCAGGTCCCTCCCAGTGTGTGTCAGGTGCCCTCCCCCTGTGTGTCAGGTGCCCTCCCAGTGTGTCAGGTGCCCTCCCAGTGTGTGTCAGGTGCCTTCCCAGTGTGTCAGGTCCCTCCCAGTGTGTCAGGTGCCTCCCAGTAAGTGTCAGGTCCCTCCCAGTGTGTGTCAGGTCCCTCCCCCTGTGTGTCAGGTCCCTCCCAGTGTGTGTCAGGTCCCTCCCAGTGTGTCAGGTGCATCCCTGTGTGTCAGGTGCCTCCCCGTGTGTGTCAGGTGCATCCCTGTCCGTGTACCTGTCTCGGAGCAGACTCCACACTTCTCCTCCCAGACAGGCCTCCAGCAGCATGTACACGTACTTCTCGTCTTTGAACGTGCCGTAGAGTCTGGAAACAAAGAGCCACATCAGGAACATCTCATCGTCTGGCTCGTCCCTCAGGTCCCCCGGGTCTGGACCTGAGCTCCAGATCTGTACTCACGTGACGATGAAGGGGGATCGACTGTCCTTCAGGATGTTCTTCTCTGAGTGGATGTGCTCCTGTTGTCTGTTCTCCACCACCTGATGTTTCTTGATGATCTTCAGCGCCAACCCCACCTCCTGCTCCACCTTCACCTGCTCCTGCTGCTCCACCTGCTCCTCCTGCTCCTGCTGCTCCACCTGCTCCTCCTGCCCCACCTGCTCCACCTTCACCTGCTGCTTCAGTTTCACCTGGAGAAATATACAAATAAACACAACGCCACATCCTCCACCTGCTCCTCCTCTTAGTTCTTCTCACCAGTTCGACGCGTCCGAATCCTCCCACTCCGAGCGTGGACACCAGCTCCAGGTGGTGGAACGGTCTGGAGCAGCAGAACCCAGAGACCAGCTCCCTCAGACGAGCCCGATCCTGGGACAGAGGCTGGGACTGGAGCATGGACAGGGACCTCCTGCAGAGAGAGGAGAGCGCAACCTGGTGAGGAACGCGCAGGAACTACAGGTCCAAACACACGAGAGCTCCTGCAGAGAGAGGAGAGCGCCACACACAGGTCCTCAGAGGTACTGCAGGTCCAGACACACAGGTGTCCTCTTACTTGGCGTGTCGTTTCCTGTCGTCTCGCTCCAGAGACGCCACGTACCCCTGAAGATACTTCTGCAGCTCACAGAAGGTCCCCACGGTCTGGTCAAACGTCCTACAACACACACAAGACCATCAGGAGAACATCACAACTCCATCACACAACATCACCACACAACATGACACAACATCAGACAACACCACAACAACACCACACAACACCACAACAACACCACACACAACAACACCACAACAACACCACAACACCACAACTCCACACAACATCACACAACATCAGACAACACCACAACAACACCACACAACACCACAACAACACCACACAAAATCACACAACATCACACAAAATCACAACAACACCACAACAACACCACAACACCACAACTCCACACAACATCACACAACATCAGACAACACCACAACAACACCACACAACACCACAACAACACCACAACAACACCACAACAACACCACACAACATCACACAACATCACAACAACACCACAACAACACCACAACAACACCACAACATCACACAACATCACAACACCACAACTCCACACAACATCACACAACATCAGTCAACACCACAACTCCACACAACATCACACAACAACAACAACACCACAACAACACCACAACAACACCACAACATCACAACAACACACAACACCACAACTCCACACAACATCACACAACATCAGACAACACCACAACAACAACAACATCACACAACATCAAAACAACACCACAACAACACCACAACAACATCAAAACAACACCACACAAAATCACACAACATCACACAAAATCACAACAACACCACAACAACACCACAACAACACCACACAACTCACAACAACACGACAACAACATCAAAACAACACCACAACAACACCACAACAACATCACACAACATCACAACAACACCACAACAACACCATAACAACACATAACAACACCACAACAACATCACAACAACATCACAACAACACCACACAACATCACACAACATCACAACAACACCACAACAACACCACAACAACATCACAACAACATCACACACAACATCACAACAACATCACAACATCACACACAACACAACAACAACACACAACATCACCACAACACACACAACACACACAACAACACACACACACAACATCACAACAACACACACAACACACACACACAACACCACAACAACATCACAACAACACAACAACACCACCACACAACATCACACAACATCACACAACATCACAACAACACCACAACAACATCACAACAACATCACACACAACATCACAACAACATCACAACAACACCACAACAACATCACAACAACATCACACAACATCACACAACATCACAACAACATCACAACAACATCACACAACATCACACAACATCACACAACAACACAACATCACGACAACATCACACACAACATCACAACAACATCACAACAACACACACAACATCACAACAACAACATCACACAACAACACACAACAACATCACAACAACATCACACAACATCACAACATCACAACACACAACATCACACACAACACACATCACACAACATCACACAACACACACAACAACACACACAACATCACACAACATCACACACACAACACAACATCAACAACATCACACACACACAACACACACAACACCACAAACATCACAACAACATCACAACAACACCACACAACACAACACAACAACATCACAACAACAACAACAACACAACATCACACAACATCACAAAACACACACAACATCACACAACATCACACAACACATCACAACATCACACAACATCACACAACATCACAACAACACACACAACACACACAACACAACATCACACAACATCACAACAACACCACACAACATCACACAACATCACACAACATCACACAACAACACAACAACAACACAACACACAACATCACACAACAACACAACAACACAACAACACACACAACATCACAACAACATCACACAACATCACAAAAACATCACACAACATCACACAACATCACAAACATCACAACAACAACAACACAACAACATCACAACACACATCACAACAACATCACAACAACAACAACATCACAACAACATCACAACAACATCACACAACAACATCACAACAACACACACACACAACACATCACAACAACACCACAAACAACACACACAACATCACACAACATCACACAACAACATCACAAACAACACACACACACACCACAACAACACACACAACAACACAACACACACACACAACAACAACACAACAACACCACAACAACATCACATCACAACAACACACAACAACAACATCACACAACATCACACAACATCACAACAACATCACAACAACACCACACAACATCACACAACATCACACACAACATCACAACAACAACAATCACAACAACATCACACTCACAACAACAACACAACACACAACAACATCACAAACAACACACACAACAACACACAACAACAACATCACACAACATCACACACAACATCACAACAACACACACAACACACAACAATCACACAACAACATCACAACAACAACACACACAACATCACACAACATCACACAACATCACAACAACATCACAACAACAACAAACATCACAACAACATCACACAACATCACACAACATCACACAACATCACACAACATCACACAACATCACACAACATCACACAACATCACAACAACATCACACAACATCACAACAACACACACACAACATCACACAACATCACACAACATCACACAACATCACACAACACACAACATCACACAACATCACACAACATCACAACAACACCACACAACATCACACAACAACATCACAACAACATCACACAACATCACAACAACATCACAACAACATCACAACAACATCACAACAACATCACAACAACATCACACAACATCACACAACATCACACAACAACATCACAACAACATCACAACAACATCACAACATCACAACAACATCACAACAACATCACAACAACACCACAACAACACCACACAACATCACAACAACATCACAACATCACAACATCACACAACATCACAACAACATCACAACAACATCACACAACATCACAACATCACAACATCACAACAACATCACAACAACAACACACACAACAACAACACAACAACATCACACAACATCACAACATCACAAACAACATCACAACAACATCACAACAACACCACAACAACATCACAACAACATCACAACAACAACAACACACAACATCACAACAACATCACAACAACATCACAACAACATCACAACAACATCACACAACAACAACACCACAACAACATCACAACAACATCACAACAACACCAACAACAACACCACAACATCACAACAACATCACAACAACATCAACAACATCACAACAACATCACAACAACACCACAACAACACCACACAACATCACAACAACATCACAACATCACAACATCACAACAACATCACAACAACATCACAACAACATCACAACAACATCCACAACAACATCACACAACATCACAACAACATCACAACATCACAACACCACAACAACATCACAACAACATCACAACATCACAACATCACAACAACATCACAACATCACATCACAACATCACAACATCACAACAACATCACAACAACATCACAACAACATCACAACAACAACATCACAACAACATCACAACAACATCACAACAACACAGAGACAAACCAAACTCTCGTACTC